GATGTTCCCAGGCTTTTGCAAACTCCCGAGCTGCCAAGATCCCTCCTAAATTCAGGGTGGGACCCCCAAACTTCCCACCCCTCCCAGTCCCTCTTCCCAATCCGAATCCTCCCCCAGCCTCGTTGCACTGATGCCGTTGCTGCGTCTTTGCCCTTCAGCACCTGCAGAGGTGAGAAAATCAAGGTGGAGAGGCAGAAATTGCTCCCTGTCGCTGCTCAATCCCAAAGAATAAACAGCATTCCAGGGAATTCCAGCATTCCCAGGCGAGCTGCCACCCAATTGCCTCTGCTGGAAAACTGGGAAGCAACGTGGAGACGCCCCGGGCAGGGAAAACCCTCCCTTAAGCATCCCACAGCATCAGGATTATTCCCTGCTTTCCCTTGGGTTTAATCCTTCGAAAAAATTTCCTTTGGAGGAATTAAGAGGGTTCAAATATTCCCTGTTATCCGCGGGAAGTTGACTCCATCCCGCCGCTCTCCCCGTCCCTCCCCTGCTTTGTTTTGTTCCCTGAGAATTTTCCCGCTGCATCCCGGGCACGGCTGGAATTTCGCAGCAGCACGTGCGCGGGGAAACAAGCCGGAGCTGCAGCTGGATTTTGAACTATCCCAGTTTTTTTCCTGGCTGCGCGGTTCCAGCTGGAGGAAGCGCCTACCCACCTGCGGCGGGCTCTGCACCTCGACACCCGCCCTTCCAAGGGATTCCTGGGAGCATCCAGCCGCCCTCCCGGGGCACCGCGTTTTGCTTCCAGCTCGTTTGGAGCACGGAGGGGTTGGAAAAGCGGCTCCGCATCCCAAGGTTTGGAAGCAGCGGCCATTTCCCCGCCGGGGGAGCGGCCGAGGAGCCGCAGCCGCTCCAGGGAAAGGGGGTGAGGAGGATCCGCGCGTCCAGCCCCGATCCCAGGGAAGGGCTGGGAAGGGAAATGGGATTGAAGGGATGAAGGGACGCCTGTGGAGCTCCCAAAGGTGCGGCATCCCGGGAGCCCCGAGGGGCAGGAGCATCCCAGCCCCGGGAGACCCGGAGCGGTTCGTTCCTCACCTCGACCCGCACCGATCCCGCCCAGCTGACCCGGGAAAGGGGGATTGTTCCCAGGATTTGGGGAATTCCCCTTCCAAGCAGCCCCAAACACTTTGGCAGGCTGGTAGGGGAGGCCAGAACCTCATTGAAAAGGTTTTGCTGGAGATGGAGCCGCTCCTCCCTCGGATCCATCATCCCCTCGCCAGGGTTTTATTGCCGGCAATAACTCCTGGAAAATCCTCCCCAGATGGGAATTTTATTGGGATCATCACCGCAGTCTGAGTTATGGGGCTGTGACCCCCCAAAGAGCTGGGCCAGGGTGGAAGTCAAGGATCCTGCAACTTTCCTGACCTGTTTTTATGTGATTGAGGACAGGGGAGAGGGGAGAAAATGTCATTGATCCCATCCAGACCAGCTCCTATTCCAGGAAAAATAAGAAAAAATGGACTTTTAATTTTTTTTCCTAATTAAACTCCTCTTTCTGAGCTTTTCCACCTGGGAGTGACAATTCTCTTGTGCCTTATGGCCATAGAACATCTATATTTCTATACATGCAGGAGGAGGTGGTGCTGCATAAACCTTTCTAGTGCTGCTTTACACATGGAACCACTCCTCAATCCCACTTTTTTGGGGGGAATTCCCATGCAAACCGCCCAAATTCCCTTTTTTCCATGGGGAACACACATGTGAGGATGTCCTTAGCACTGGGATGGTCACAGATCCTGATTCAAGGAGGGGTTTAGGGCTGGTTCCTGGAGGATTTGCATTAAATTTGGGGAATTCTGAAGGAATAGATCCCACATGGTGGATTTTCCTTGAAAATACATAATTATGGATAATTACATCTCCAGAAATAGATATCAAATATAAGTATAAATTATATAAACCTATAAAATCTCAATTGTCTGCTGGCTCCAGGCTCCCTGCCCTGAGGATGAGGGAGAGGGAGGGATAAAAAGCAGCCCCAGGATGAATTTCTTCTCTAATTAAGGTTTAATTGGTGCAAAGAGAGCCTTGAAAATTAAGACACGGGGTTGTACCCCCAAAAACAAAGGGATGGGGGAAAAGTGGAGCCTCTCCTGTGCTGGAACCTGGGAAGGGAGCAGGAAAAAAGCGGGAAATTAATAAAATAAATAGAAATAGAAGGGATTTGAAGAGCAAGGATGGATTTAAATCCCTAAATTATTCCAGTGCCTTGAAGGGGGAAAAATCACCTTTAATTGAGTGGCACCCACTGAGCAGGGAGGGAAACTGAGCCCAGGGGACTCCAAGGAAAACATTTATGGCTCAGGGATGGTTTGTAAAGGGTTTCCTTGGAAGTCAAGGTTGTTCCCATTCCATCTGGCAGCCACGGGTTGAGTTTGATGGAATAATTTCCACCCTCTGGCTGCTGCTTCCATAGGATTTAATAACCCCCCAATTTCAGAAAGAGCCTCAGTGCATCCCATGGGAATAATATTCTCATTCCCTGCCTTATATATATATATAATATATATTTGTGTATATCTGTGTGTGTCCTATACATACATATTACATATATTACACATACATTTATGTATGTGTGTGTTATTAATGTATATATTTATATCTATATACATATAGAACATGGTCTGCTGACAAGGATCAGCCACAGGTTGGACTCGATTGTCTTGGAAGTGTTTTCCAACCTCAGTGATTCCTAAGGGACACTCGTTTGGGATAAGGAAATAAAATCCGAGGTGGTGGAGCAGCCTCCTGGTGCCACCAGTCCATTCCCAGAGGGAAAACAGCTGCAGCTCTGAAAGCACCATCCTCATTTTGGGGTGTTTTAGTTGGAATTGTAGCCCGGGGGGACATCTGGAGTCCCTAAAATTGGGTTTCTGATGTTCCTTTTTCTCATTAAATTCCCAGATTGGGGTCCCAGAGAGCCCTGCAATAAACACAAATGTGTGTTTAATGCTGTCATTCCAAAGCATGGGAAGTCCCTGCCAGGCCCTGGAAATCCAGCTGCTTTCCCACAGGTCCACCCCGGAGGTGACGAAACTGCAAAGGAAAAGAGGGAGAACAGGTGGGAAAATCCAGGAGCTCCTTCCCACCCTCCCCTTGGCACCGCTGGGCTCGTGCCCCTTCCTCTGGGGCATCTCCAGGGCCGGGCTGGAGAATTCCCACCCTCGGAGCTGCTCCACAGGGAGAAAACTTCAGCAGGGAGAGCAAAGGAATCCCAGGCCAGCCCAGCCCAGCGGATGAGCCGGCGCTCTGGAGCTGCGGTGCCGGACAATCCCGGCGCTCCAGAGCCACTGTGCCGGACAATCCCAGTGCTCCGGAGCCACAGTGCCGGACAATCCCAGTGCTCCGGAGCCACAGTGCTGGACAATCCCAGCGCTACAGAGCCATGGTCCTGGACAATCCTGGCTCTCCAGAGCGGGAGCTGCCGGACAATCCCAGCGCTCCAGAGCCACAGTGCCGGACAATCCCAGCGCTCCGGAGCCGTGGTGCCGGACAATCCCGGCCCTCCAGAGCGGGAGCCGCCAGCCCATTTCAGGGCTGAGTGCTCGGGAATTTCAATCTGATAATTGTGATGCTACAAATGAAAATCAAATTGGAGGCACTTAAAGGGTCGGGTCATAAATTGATTTAAGTCCTCGGACAAGTTTCCACCTCGCTGGCCTTGGATTCCTGCGAGGATGGAGCTGTGCCAGAGGAACGGGGGATGGGGCACGTCCTTCTGGGGATATTCCCTCCATCCCACACCATTCCTGAGGGGGGAAAAGGGTGTTTTGGAGCTTCCTGTTGATTTCTGAGAATGTGCAGCTCCAAGGGGGTGGATCAGAATCCCAGAATCCCAGGGTTTGGGCTGGGAGGGACCTCAAAGCTCATCCCATTCCACCCCCTGCCATGGGCAGGGACACTTTCCACTAGAGCCCAGGTTGCTCCAAGCCCCATCCAACCTGGCCTTGGACACTTCCAGGGATGGGGCAGCCACAGCTTCTCTGGGCAACCTGTGCCAGGGCCTCCCCACCCTCCAGGGAAGGATTTCTTCCCAATATCTAAGAACTGGATTCTCTCAAGTCCAGCTTTCTCCGCAGTCATGACAATCTCAGAATCCCAGACTGGTTTGGGTTGGAAGGACCTCAAATCTCCCCCAGTCCCACCCCTGCCATGGGCAGGGACACCTCCCACTATCCCAGCTTGCTTCAAGCCCCGTCCAACCTGGCCTTGGACACTTCCAGGGAAGTGGAACCCCTTGGGATGTTCCCACCAAACCAAGGCAAGGAACGTTTGCACCCGAAGCCGGAATTACAGAACTGCACAAAACACACCAATTCCTACGGGATTTATTTCCACACTCCCCCCATTTCCTTTCCTTGGAAGCCAAGCGTCCTCAGCTCCCAAAACCGGGGGGTTTCGTACCAAAGAGCCTCAAGTCACAGTCCAGAAGAAGTGGTTATTCCAGGCAAAACCCGCTGGGAGCTGCCACCCCCATTCCTGGCGCTCCCAGTGTCCCAATATATACAGATTCCTTCTTTGTACAGGTCATAATATACAACATATTTATATATATATAAATGTATAGAGGGAGGTACTCACACACAGACACACGGACACCTCGGGCTGGGAGCAGCCCCCCCACAGCCCGCAGGGAGGGCGCTGCTCCCGCCGCCCGGAATTCCCACTTTCCATGCAAACAGCTGGTTTTCAGGGAAGAAACTCCCCGTTTCTTTCAGTTTTTTCCTCCTTATAAAAATAACGGGTGATGCACCCAGGGCAGGGCCACCCCCGGCAGCTGTTGGGTGGCTTGAGGTAGGAGCCGGGTTGGTGGGGAATCCCGGGAATGCTGCAGCAGCAACCGGAGCTGCCAGAGGAGCAGCATTGGGGGGAATCCCGGGATCTGCCAGATGAGCAAGGTGGGGAGAGAATCCCAGGAAAGCTGCAGCATCCACGGGATCTGCCAGATGAGCAGGGGTGGGGGGAATCCTGGGAATGCTGCAGCAGCAACTGCATGGGGGGGAATCCTGGGAATGGCACAGCATTGGTGGGATCTGCCAGGGGAGCAGGGTGGGGAGAGAATCCCAGGAAGGCTGCAGCATCAACGGGATCTGCCAGATGAGCAGGATGGGGGGGAATCCCAGGATCTGCCAGATAACCACAGCTGGGGGGCAATTCCAGGAATGCAGCAGCATCAGTGGGATCTGCCAGATGAGCAGGATGGGGGGAATCCCGGGATCTGCCAGATGAGCAGGGTGGGGAAGGGTCCCGGGAATGCTACAGCATCAGTGGGATCTGCCAGGTGAGCAGGGAGGGCTGGGATCCCAGGAATGCTACAGCATCAGTGGGATCTGCCAGGTGAGCAGGGAGGGCTGGGATCCCGGGAATGCTACAGCATCAGTGGGATCTGCCAGGTGAGCAGGGAGGGCTGGGATCCTGGGAATGCTACAGCGCCAGCGGGAGCTGCCAGATGAGCAGGGAGCTGTCGCCGCCCCCCCTGTCCCTGTGCGGGCCGTCCCCGCGGAAGTTGCGGTACCCGCGGCCCCCGGACACGATGGCCACGGAGGAGATCTCCTTGCGGGGGGTGTCGCGGGCGCAGGGCCGGCTCCTCACCCACACGTCGGGGTCGTCGGCCAGCTCGTAGATGGAGCCGTCCTCCTCGGCGTGTGCCGGCGTTCCCGGCGGGGATTCCCGCACGGAGAGCAGCTGCCCGGGCAGGTGGGCCGTGGAGCGCAGCCGGTACTGCAGCAGGATCCCTTTCTTCCTCAGCTCCCGGGGGGGAGGCCCCTCCAGCTCCGGGCCTTTCTCCTCCTCGCCCCCATCCTCCTCCTCGTCCCGGTCACCCCGGAGGACGTCGGGGGCCAAGGTGCTCAGAGCCACCGCCAGGAACTCCACGGGGCCGCCGTGGCCGTTGAGGGACACCATGCCCTTCCCTGCGGGAGAACGCGGGGATGTGGCTCCGACCGAGCCCGGGAACTGGGGATTCCCGAGCCTGGGAACCCGGGATTCCGAGCCCGGGAACTGGGGATTCCCGAGCCTGGGAACCGGGGATTCCCGAGCCTGGGAAGGGTTGGGGGCTCACCGGTGATCTTGGGGATCCCCTCCAGGCGGGGCACAGGCAGCAGCACGATGATGCCCTGGTCGGTGCCCACCCAGAGCGAGCCCTGGCAGATGAGCAGGCTGGTGACACGCACGTGCTTGTGACCTGGGCAGGGAGACAGAGAGGAGCAGGGAGAACTCCACATCAAACTCCCAAAGAATTCAGCACCGCAGGAGTTTTTATGCAGAACATCCTCTGGAAGCCCCCAAACCCAGGATGATGCCCTGGCTGGAGCCCCCCAAGAGCGAGCCCTGGCAGAGGTGACACAGATGTGGTTTTGATCTGTGGAAGCAGAAAAAAAAAAAAGAGGCTGAGGGATAATTTCACATCAAACTCCCAAAAAACCCATCACCGGTGGATTTTTTGCCTTTGGAAGCTCACAGAACCAAAGCAGCACCTTGGCACAAAGGTCTCCACGGCAGGGAAAGGGCTAAAAATCTAAATAAATAAAAAGGAGAGCAGGGGAAAAAAAGAGAAAAGTGAGACTTCTAATGGGAAGTGAATATTTTATGGGCAGGACTTAGCGCTGCACGACGTCCGACTCGGAGCAGCAATAAATCCACGGAGATGCAACTCCGGGTTCCTCCAGGAGGATTTTATTAATGACCTGCCAACTTAAAAAGGATGAGGGAGCACAAGTTCAAAAATGCATTAATCCCCACCACTCGCTCGCCCACGAAGAAAGGGAAGTGATGAATATTTGAACATGCCCTAAAAAAGCGGGAAAAAAACGGAGCCAAAGGGATTTAGAGGAGGATCCTGCTCGGGACCAACGACACGATCCTGGAGCTCCCAGAGAACAGGGACAGCCCAGGGAGGGGCAGGGACACAGAGATGGGAATGGGATGGGGGAAAATGGGGGAAAGGGTGCACAGGGCAATGGGGGGGGGTGTGCATGGATGCAGGAATGGGGCAAGGATGGAAGGGAAGGGATGGGGTACAGGGATGGGGGGACAAGGATTGGGGTGGACAAGGATGGGGAACAAGGATGGGGGGACAAGGATGGGGGGAACAGGGATGGGAGGGACAGGGATGGGAGGGACAGGGATTGGAGGGACGGGGATGGGGGGACAAGGATGGGGCACAGGGACGGGAACAGGGATGGAGCACATGGATGGGGCACAGGTGCAGGGATGGAGCACATGGATAAGGTGCACACATGGGGATGCAAAGCTGGGATTCATGGATACACACACAGGGGCACAGACCAGCTCCACCTCTGCAGCCCGTGAGCAGAGCCCAGAGCTCCAAAGCCTCACCCAGCACCCTGTTCCTCCCCAGTCCCTCTGGAGAGCAGGGAACCAACCCCAAAGAGCACAAAATTAATTTGCTCATTTCACAGAAAGAAGAAAACACAGATTTGAAAATTCTAAAAAGTCATAAGTATTGAGACTGATTTGGGGAAAGTCAGACTTTGGCATTGTAAATCTAACAATAAATTTTAACAAGTTGTTGTTTTAACAAGGAGTTGCCAGGGCAATGCCCCCTGGGCACTGCCAGAGCAGCCAGGGGGGCTCAGGGCTCACCTGGGAGCACAAAGGTGGTCCTGGTGGCAATGTTGATCTCCTGCAGGTGCTCGAGGGTCTCGGTGTGGAAGAGGCGGATGGAGGAGCCCGAGGCAAAGGCCATCCAGACCCCACTGCCCGCCTTCACCATGTGGGTCACGCTGGCCTCGGCCTCGGGGTGGGCCTCGAAGGTTTGCTGGGGGGAAGCCCAGAAGGAAATCAAAGGGGGGCTCCCCAAAAGTGCTGCCAGCTCGGGCTCTCTCCGGGAGCTTCTTTGGGGCTCCAAAGCTGCACAGGGAGGGGCCAGAGCGACCCTGAGGTCCCCTCCCTCCTCAGCAGCTCCAGCTCTGGGAGAGCACCCAGGAACCAGCCCATCTGCAAACCCCTCTGGGGGTTTTTGGGATGGTAACACAGCCTTCCCCACCCCTCCAGGGTTTTTGTCCTTCTCTGAAAGATTCACTTCCCAGACCAAATGCATCTGCAAAATCCATTTCACAATACAGGGTGAGACCCTCCTGCTTCCTCCAACCCCAAAAACCAGCCAGGAGAGGCTCAGCCTCCCTGCCCCAGGGTCCTTGGGAATCATGGATTGGGCCATCTGCTTCCCAAACTCCCCACTGGAGCATTTCCCTGTCAGACACGAGATGCAAACTGCAGGAAAAGCACCTTCTTGGCATCAGAAACCATCCCTGCTGCAGCCTGGCCTTTAAAATTTACTTAACAGTGAAAAAAGAGGAGCTAGGGTTGATCCCCTTCCCACAGAAGGGGCACAAAGCACCTCCCAAAAAACCTTTCCCAAGACAGGGGTGAATAGAGATTTTCAGGTGATCTCCCCATATTCCCCATCCTCCCTGGGATCCATTCCCTGCTGGTTTATTCCCAGACCAAGACCCTATTCCACGGCACTATTTACCCCACCCCATAGCAACCCCCATCCCTATTTTTTTCCCCTTCTTCTGCAAAAAAAAAAAATTCCCCTCCTGTCATAAATAAAGAGGGAGCCTGGAAAGGAATCCAGTCCCCAATGCATAATTCATGTCCATCAGCACCCTCGGGCTGGATTTATGACAGCTGATACATGCAAACCGAGTTGGGGCACTAAATGTGGAAATGAAGGTGGGAGAAAAGGGGGTTTTTAAAGCAAAAAGCGACTCTGCAGCATTCCCTGGTTGTGCAGCTGCAGGAGGGGGCTCGGCACCTCCCTCCTGTGATCCAACACGGGAGGGAAGGGAGCCAGAAATGAGGGAAAGCAGCAGGAAAAGGCTGGTTTGGGCAGTGCAGGGCAGGGAAAGCAGCAGGAAAAGGCTGGTTTGGGCAGTGCAGGGCAGGGATGGGCCCGGGCAGGGGGATCAGCTGGGGCTCCAACCCCGCCCCGGAGCTCCGACCGTTCCCAAGGGATGCAGATCCCAGATCCTGGGGATGCTCCTACCTGGGCCCGGAGGGTGGTGGCATCAAGGACAGTGACCTGGTTGGCACAGCTGGCCCACAGGGTCTCCTCCAGGGTCAGCAGGGCTCGCACGGGGCCGGTGCCCACGGGCAGGCGGGTGGGCTGCGCTCCGGGATCCCAGAGCCCCCCTGGAGCACAGGAACGGGATCAGGGGGAGCACCCAGGAAAAGCATCTCTGCCTGGAGCTGAACCCCCCCAAAACGTGGGCTGGGGTCGCTGGGGACCCCTCACACCTCCAAGGATCCCAATTCCACAATCCAAAGGCCAAAGGGGGGGTTATTCCCCCATTCCAACCCCTCCAAATTCCCTCTGCTCCCGTGCAGACAGCTTTGGAGCAGGGAACAACTGCCCACCTGCAGCACTCAGGCACGTTCCTTGTTGGAAAAGCCAAAAATCCCCCTTTTTCCCATTTATTTGCTCTTCAAGTGACACTCCAGGGCCATTCTGGAGTGTCCCTGTGAACAGCATCCAACGTGGATTTGGATGAATCCACCACCAGCAGCTTCAATACATAATCACTCTCCTTTTTTTTTTATTTCCAATGCTTTAACTCAAACCCTAAGATCTGATGGATAAAAGAGCCCTTTGGATCCTCCAACCTCTTCTCCCATCAGCAGGGGTTTGCAACTGATTCCTCTTTCAGCAAATCCTCATTTCAGCTCTTTCAGGGAAGCTTTTGCCTTCCAAAAAAACAGGGATAAGATTAAAAACTCCACCCTGCAGCCCTGCCAGCAGCTTGCTGCCATCACTGTGCATTTACACAATCAAAATTCAATTAAAAGTGACTTTAATTGGCTCCCAGGGTTGCTGTAATTTGGGAAAGGGGACGTGCAGCACCCAAAAATGCAATTTAAGGGGGTTTAGTGGCTCTGGGTTGACTTGGGTGCTGCTCCCTGCAGGTTCTTGGAGAAAAATACGAGGTTTGTCCAAAAATAGGCCAAGTTCCACATTATTTGAGGCTCTTTCCTACCCTCTAGTGATGAAAAAAAGGTATTTACCCAGGCAAGCAGTCCCTGGGGAGGGATGGAAGCTCAGCCTGAGCCAGAACCAGGGCAAACAAACCCAAACTGAAGCCGGTAAAGGAAAGAGTCTCTGCGTGGGTGGGGGTTGGAGGGGACCAGCTCCATTTATAGCACCAAAAAGGTGATTTTTGGAAGGCAAGAGCTCCAAATCCTCGCACATTCCATCATCAAGCCCTTCCTGCAGCCCCTAAGCAAACCCTTTGCTGCCTTCTGAACCCTTCAGCAGGATCATTTCCCACCTATTTTCCCCCCAGAACGAATCCCTCTTGCCTTCAGTGAAAAGCCCTTTCCTTGCCCAGGGCTGTGAGGGGAAGGGCGAAATTTTGGGGAGGAAAAAAATGACAAATGGAGATTTATCACTATTTTAGCGGCCAGCACATTTCGCTGGCGTGAGAACCTCCCAATTCCACGAAGAACATTCTCATTCCAGGGGTTTTTTTTAGGAGGTTTCACCCAAACAAGCGGGTCCTCACCGTTGCTCCGGGGGTAGGCGGCCACGGACCCGTCCTGCAGCCCCGCAAACAGGAACTCGGGGCTGTGCCTCAGGCACAGGATGGGCTGCATTCCCGGGCTCCTGCAGCTCAGCAGGCACGGCGTGCCCGTGTCCACGCTCCCATAGACCAGGATGCTGGGGAGGGAAGGGGTGGGAGCTGCAGAGGCAGCTGGTTGGGCTGGCAGCGGGACGGCTGGTCGGGGCGGCAGCGGGAGGGGGGCTCACCTGCCGTCCTGCAGCCCCAGGCACACGGTGGGATGAGGGGCTGAGGGGGGCTGCTCGCTGCCCCGGGGTTCCTGGCAGCCCGGGGGATCCCCCTCCTCGGGCTCCGGGATGTATTCCATGCACAGCACCGGGGAGGCCACCGGGAAGGACTTGACGGTGCGCGGCACGGCGCGGTTCAGGGAGAAAATCTCCACCTGCCCCCCCGCGCCCTCCTGGCCACCCCCCACCTGGGGGGACACATGCCGGGGTCAACGCCCGCCACGACCCCACGAGGGGGGGGTTGGGGACACAATGCCCCAAAACAGGGGGGTTTGGCCCCGTTTTGGGGGGTGGCTCACCCAGAGGTAGCCCTGCGGCAGCGACGTGCTGACGGCGGAGAAGCCCAGCAGGGAGGACTGCACGGGGTTGTGAACTGCGGCTCCGAGCTGGGGACAGAGCAGGGCAACGCCCCAAAATTAGCCCAGCATGGGCAGGACAGCGGTGGACAGCCCAAAATCGGGGGTCCAGCCGCAGCCCCGCTGGTATTTCCAGCATTCCAGGGGGGGCTGCACCAATTTCTGCCCTCATTACTGACTTGGGACGCCCTGTCCACTGTGGGATTTCTGCCTTTCTTCCCCAAAAGGATGGAGGGAAAGGGGCGATGGAGAACCCAAATTACCCCAACACAGGCAGGATAGCAGCAGACACCCCGAAATTTGGGATCCAGCCACAGCCCTGCTGCTATTTCCAGCTTTCCAGGGTGGGCTGCACCATTTTGTGCCCTCGCGATTGATGTGGGACGCCCCGTCCAGCCCCCCCACTGTGGGATCCCAGCCTTTCCTCCCCAAAATGAGGGATGGGAAGGGAAGGGGGGACGGAGAAGAGATTGCTCTTGGCTCTCACCTGCAGATCAAGGGCTTTGGAGGAGAAGGCTGGCATGTGGCAGGAGAGGATGGGGCACCAGAATGGGGCTTTGCTCTTCTTGTCTTCGTCGGGACAGAGCCAGCCCGGCTGGTTCTCCTCCCCTGCGGAAAAACAAGGAGCTCAAGGGTCACCAAGACCCCAAGGAGACCCCAGAATCTATAACTGGAGGTGCAGGGCTCTAACCTCTAACCCCAAACCACCATTATCCATGGATTTGGGATACACCTCACCCCATGCTCCAAATTATTGCAGCGCACGGCCGAGGAACCGCCTCCGGCAGCAGCAAAAATGTCCCAAAAACCAGATACAGAAGGGCAAAAAAACACCCTCGATGTGTTTCTTCACATCAGGCTTTAATGTGTTTTCATTTCTAACTCGTGGATACAGGATTATCCCCCAGGATAAAAAAAAAGGGGAAACAAAACACAAACTGTTAAAAAACAAGAGTCTCATAAATTATTCCAGCCCAGGGGGATCTGAGCACTCAAACAGAATTTTAAATTCTTTTTCTTTTCTTCTGTTAAACTTACTTTTGCTGCTGCAGTGGCTGAGGGAGTTATAGAGGAATAGGGATTGGGAAGGGGCAGGAGGCTCCTCCCTTCCTCATTCATCCCATTCCATGGAAAATGGGTCAGCCCTGACACCACTGCCACGTGAGCCGACAGAAATCCATCACTTTGTGACTCCAGCCCAGAGATCCCACCCAAGAGCAGCAAATCCCAAAGCATTTGGGGCCAGAACTCCCCATTCCCACCATTGCCAGCATGCAAATCTCCAAGACGTTCTCCATCACCTTACTCCCAAAGTTTCCCGCCCCGTTTGGGTTGGGATGCTCGGAGCAATGCCAACCCCCCTCCGCTCCCAAGCCTGGCTTTTCCAAGGAATGCTGGTGACTCACTCAGGCCTATCTTGGCCAGGTGCAGGCGGTTCACCCAGGAGATCTTGCTCAGGGGGCTGGGGGTGATGAACACGACCATGACGCTGATGGGGCGGCCGGACCTGCGCGGGCACAGACCCCCGGGTGGGTCCTCGGCCCCTCCGGGTGGGAGGAGCCCCCCAGGACCCCCCACTCATGGGAGGAGCCCCCAGGACCCCACACTCATGGGAGGAGCCCCCCAGGACTCCACAGTCATGAGAGGAGTCCCCAGGACCCCACACTCATGGGAGGAGCCCCCCAGGACCCCCCACTCACTTGTCCGGCTTCCCGGGCAGCAGCAGCCGCAGGCGGCACTTGTTGGCAGAGTGGATCTCCTCCTCCTTCACCCTCACCATCCTCTGCAGTGCCAGACACCAGTCCTGGGCCACCGTCATGTTCAGGTTCTGGGGGACAGTCTCACATGGGGGAAGGGCCCCCAAAACCAGCCTGAACCACCCCCAAACTTCATCTGTGGGGCTCCAGAGGAGGCATCCCCAAGGTGTCCCCAGTGATTCCCAAAGAGGTGCCCAGAGATCCCAAAGAGGTGCCCAG